AGGATGAAAGGATGATATGATAGGATGATATGATGATAGGATGATATGATAGGATGATAAGATGTTAGGATGTTAGGATGATAGGATGTAGGGATGTTAGAATTATAGTATGATATGATAGTATGTTAGGATGATAGGATGATAGGATGGTAGGATGATAGGATGATATGAAAGGATGATAGGATGTTAGGATGATAGGATGATATGATGATATGATAGGATGTTAGGATGATAGGATGTTAGGATGTTAGGATGATAGGATGATATGATAGGATTATAGGATGTTAGGCTGATATGATAGGATGTTAGGATGATAGGATGATAGGATGATAGGATGTTAGGATTATAGGATTATAGGATGTTAGGCTGATATGATAGGATGTTAGGATGATAGGATGATAGGATGTTAGGATGTTAGGATTATAGGATTATAGGATGATAGGATGATAGGATGATATGATAGGATGTTAGGATGTCAGGATGTTAGGATGATAGGATGATAGGATGATATAATAGGATGTTAGGATGTTAGGATGATAGGATGATAGGATGATAGGATAGGATGTTAGGATGATAGGATGATAGGATGTTAGGATGATAGGATGATATGATAGGATGATATGATGATGGGATGATATGATAAGATGATATAATGTTAGGATGATAGGATGATATGTTAGGATGTTAGGATGATAGGATGATAGGATGTTAGGATGATAGGATGATATGATAGGATGTTAGGATGATAGGATGTTAGGATGTTAGGATGATAGGATGATAGGATGTTAGGATGATAGGATGATAGGATGTTAGGATGATAGGATGATAGGATGATAGGATGATGCACCCCTGGAATATGTCATAGTAAAATTGAAGGCACGAAGATAGCTGTTTGATTGGTCTCAGGTAAAAAAAACACCTGATCAATCGCTTGACGGATACCTGTCCTTTGAAGATTACAAAGGACAGACGCCCAACTTCAAAGCCTGACAATTTTTACCGTTACGTGACCGCGAGATTCTTTTGATGTCCATCATAGGATTGAACTAGTCTTCTTGTCTCATCAACAAGGTTCCGCACACCGAGCCTTCGATTTTGCTATGACATATTCCAGGGGTGCAGAGAGCGAAAGTGAACGTAACACCTGGATATCGAGGATGGTGTCGTAATATCGGTAATATATGTCAAATAAAAACGAGATAATACAGAAGTACAAACAAAACCATATCATTCGAACTCAAAGTCGATAAAACTATGGTAAAATATGAACAATGGAAAGATGACCAGGCGTTCTAGAAGGGTAACAGTGTCTTCTGCCTCATCGATGACGCAAGCCATCAAAATATAGGTCAAATACAAGTAGTGTCATGCCCTCAAATCGAGAAATCGGGTAGTTACAAGTAAACCACAACTCACACTAATGAATAAAACAAATCGACGGTCATATCACACAAATAAAAAACCATATGATGCTATTAAAACTAATAAGACCATAACACTTGTCCTAGTATTCATCAGCCTGTATCTTACGAATACTTGTGTTGTAAGGTTTGACCGTCAACAGTCGACAGAAATCATAATATTCGGAGCAACCTTTTTATTATAAAAACAGGGATGTTACTATCAAGAAGGGGAAAGTTCAAGACCGGAAAGTCGAAATCGTTCTGTAGAGCCGAAGAAGAAGAGTATAAATATAGTGTCCTTGATATAAAGCTCAGAGGGTATGTACGATTGATGTGGTCAATAAAGGTGGGGTCAACATTTGGCCCCCACTTTGATTTCTTTTATTCGTTTCCCATAAGTAGATACATAAAAATATCGATAACTGCATAAATGAGTATCTATAATTACTACTGATAACCGCAGTGGACCACCTTGCATAACAACAGGTTGAGTGATGGGTGTATCCTAACAAAATGATAGATAAATGTCACAGGCGAATGTTTTTTTGAAAATGAATTATGATAGTGTACAGTGTATAAAATTACTGTTATTTTGATACTAAATATGTCATATTGGTATATATATGAAGTAAACGTAGTGATACTTTCAATTACAAAAACATGCAAAATGTTCACAAAATTTAAAATATAATCAACATTGTCAACTTGCCTATATATAGTTACAGTGTTACAGTGGTATTCTATATTTTAAACTTCTTTAAAAACTTTCCATGTATGTATTCTGTCTACTGAATCATTTGTATGAAATATAAAAACCGGTTAAGTACATTATTAGCATGCCAAGCATGATCAATGCCCAATTTCACATAATCATGGAGATTTGACTATCAATGTTTATTATGATAAATACCGATACATTTTCTGTTTTTGTATTATACCAAAACACTTTATTATGTTAGGCATGTTTTAAAGTGATGTGCAGCAGTAATGACTCATGACTATGTATTCTGTCACGGTAATCTTTCCCCTGGAGAACTACATAAGGTTGAGATTATGTTATAGACAACGATATACAATTCTATAAAAATAATCAAATAATCTTAATAGTAAAACGATTATACACTTTAGTGTACCCCCTGCAACAAAGTTAGGGGGTATATTGGAATCAGCTTGTCTGTCTGTCTGTCCGTAGAAAAAAGATTGTCCGGAGATCTCCTCCTACAATTTCAGCGAAAGTTTCCAGATATGATAACTACCCCCTCAAGTTATGCATCCAGGTATTATGTTTTCATTCTGATCCTTTTTTTTTTACAGAGTTATGGCCCTTTGATGAAAAATTCTTGTCCAGACATGTCCTCCAAAACTAAGGGGTCAATTTCAACGAAAGTTTTCAGATATGATAACTTCCACCTGATGGTGTGCATCCAGGTAATTTTTTTTTCAATGTGACTCTTTTTTACGGAGTTATGACCCTTTGTTGAAAAATACTTGTTCTGACAACTCCTCCAAAACTATGGAGCCAATTTCAACGAAAGTTTACAGATATGGTAACTGCCCCCTGCCATAGTGCATCCAAATAGTATGTTTTCATTCCGGGCCTTTAAAAGGAATAATGACCCTTTGTAGAAAAAGAACCTTTGTCTGCCTCATAAACTACTGGGCCGATTTCAATGAATGTTTACAGATATGGTAATTAGCCCCTGATTTCGTGCATCAGGGTACGTGCATCAGGGTAGTACCTTTTTCATTTCGACCCTTTTTAATAAGTTATGTCCCTTTGTTAAAAATGTTTGACTTGACAACTCTTCTTTAACTACTAGGACGACATAGGCAAAACTGGTTTATCGGGACTAACAAGATTGGGTATGGAAGTATGTTTTGGCATAGGGAGAGAGTACAGGAAGTATTATATGCATATATGCTTAAATATTTACTGGGGGGNTCATTACTGGTGGGAGACTATGGATTGCTTTGAAATGCTTTGCCTTAGTTAGCCTTTAGCTTACAGTCATGGGTTATATAGGAGTGGGGTATTAGTTAGTCTTTGGCTTATAGCTCTAGTTATTATTTTATTTAGCCTATTGCCCATTCATTATACAAAATATGGAGGAATATTACATTATTTCATATCGTTCACTTTAAACAAATAAAACAAGGAAAGGTAACCTTGTCTGACTCCCCATATAAAAAGTTATTTCAGCACATTTGATTTTTGTGACCTTGAACGACGGTCAAGGTCATCAACGTTTACAACACTTAATCTCATTTACATAAACAAGCTACTGGCCTAATGACAAGACCCAAGGACCTTTCGTCATGAAGAAACTGAAGTTAAAGGAAAAGTGGAAAGAAAGTTATGTTTTTTTTTTTTTAATCAAAAGTATTATATGACAAATTTACCGGTTGTCAATTTTCTTGAAATTCCTGATGTTGAAAGATATTATTGGTAGCCGACTTTTAAGCAAGTATGAAATATAGACTGGTTTTAGAACTATGTAAATTAACGTGTCGAAAATGGAAATGTTCTCATTAGTAATGAAATTTCACATACTTTTCTGCTTAAATCTTCAATAAAAAGATTAATTCTTTCTTGAAATAGTGTAATATTCGATATCAAAATGAAAGTTGGAATATGTTGCACACTTGTTTGATTTTGTTTAACGTCCTATTAACAGCTAAGGTCATTCAAGGACGGCCAATGTAGCACACGATGATGATAAAATTTTATAGTAATTATGTCATTTAAATGCTCTAGGAGGAATTGAGTTACCGCACCTTTAACACCCACACAGGTGTAAGTCAATGAGGTCCCATTTATCCTAAAAATGAATTCTGAAACTAACGGTTCCTTATTTAAGCTTCCTATACCCATACCTTTTTGTATTTATCTTGTTTTGAAATTCCAAGCGGGGCCGACGTTTAAGTTAAATTTCCCTAAGGGGTGTGCCCCCCCTTTTTTAAAAAAAAAAAAAAAAAAAAAAAAAACACAAACTGAAGCTAGGATTTCGCAAGATTTATTTATAATATATCTTCCTTTTAATACGTTGCTCCCTTTTCTTTCATACCAGAACACACATGCCATAATCTTTAACATGTAGAAGTTTGTCATAAACTGGTACTAGGTCTAGTAGAATTATATCTAACAAATGTTATTTATTAAATTATCACAGCTTTTAGGAATTCACGTATTTATAAATATTAGGTAAGATATAAAATGAAATGGCAGAAAACAAGAATTCAAGACTAAATAAAAGTAAAGTTAAAATGTAAACTACGATTTAACTCCTTTAATCAACAGGGACCTGAGCATTTGTTACAGCTACATTTTGACCTAAACTAAGGTGTTCAGAGTAATTTCACACGTTTTGGCTCGTATTTACCGAAAGTTGACATAAACCCCTAAAACGTATAAAATTACTCGAAACACATTAGTTTATGTCAGCAGTGCGTGATACTACACTAGGAGGACTGTACATTGACAAAAGAATAAGAAGAAATATAGCTGTAACAAATTATCAGGTCCCTGTGCTTTAAACCGTGGCCAATAGTGTTTAAGGGGAAATAACTCCCAAAAGAAAATGAGAGAACGGTTTCATTTCCTGTTTATGCAGATCTGCTAAACACTGGGTACCGTTAGTCGCTACTGATGTTGGAAACGTCTAGACGACTTCTCTGACGACACGTCCCGAATCTGAGTGGCTAAACTCTCTGAGGAATTCCTGTCTCAGAAGGAGGACCTATTAGCTGCTGATAAAGTAGCCGATCTTTATAAAATCTGTTCATCAACACCCAAGTTGAATATAGATAGGCCTACAACAGGAGGCCTCGCTCAGGTATCATAACCACAGGTAAGGTCGACCTGCCAGTCGGACGGATGACGAAGGCACAACAGTTTTGCGTTTGTAGACGTTGTAATAGTATTTTAAATGTCAAATGTGTCAAGTTATTAAAGATGAATTTGTAACTTGCCGTAAATCTCTGATTTAATGTATTGAAAACAATATTGACATTATTGTTTTGATTTTTTTTCCAGATAAAAATCAGTACAGTTAGACAAGTAAGATACTGACTCCAAAACCATGCCAGCAGAAGTGTCAAAGAAAACAGTATTGGTAACAGGTACAACCACTGAAAGGAATATCAAGTGTTGGTTATTATTCGATTCATATAGATACATATTTTCGTTTCAACAAAATCAGCTGATCTTTTTTATTGTAGTTCATGGTAACGTAAATATATGAATTCAATCCCTATATATTCCTGTGTATAATGTATGTTATACAAGAATTGCATATAATAAGCCTCTTGTTTACCTCCCCTGTACCAAAGCTTGTCTGGTCTTTCATCAGCATTTTCCTTTGCTAGCTTGTTAAAGTCTTTTCCTCTTAAATGGTTGATCAGATTGTCATGCATCATCTGTAAACAATCATATAACACCATTATGGTGGTAAATATCAGCCTTTGATGAGTATCAGATTATTGGTCTCAAAAGATGCTGATACTGAAGCAGCGGAGGGGAAGGGCCATAACTTTTCCATAGTGCAAAAACTTCATCCATGTCTCTGATGAAATTATGCAGATCTTCTTGAACAATTTCCATACAATAATACTTTGATGAGGGTCAGATCTGAATCGTCGCTCAGAAAGGGACCATTAAAACCCATGGGCTACTTGTTTGTTTTATACATCGATGAAATTGCAAAAAATCTATCAGTGCTGATATTGGATTATTATATGCCCACAAAAAAGCAGAGCGAAATATTTTTCCAGTTACCCAGATGAGTCTCTGTCAGTTCATTTGTCTGTCTTTAACATGAGCTCAATGACCCCAATAAGTCCCACATTTATTGACAAAGTCTTTTAAGATTTGTGGTGTTATCAGAATCATATAAAGATTTGCAAATGTTAAAATAAAAACACTGTATGAAATTGTACAATGGTAATTATAACCCTTATAACACTATTTAACTTGAAAAATATGTGGACAAAGGGAGACAACTCTTGCACAAATTTTGCAAACAAGTGAACCATACATTTTTTTCATTATTTTTTTATATACCGGTTATCTAAGAAATAATTGAACTTCCTGAGTAAAAGACGCAAATCAATTCTTTTCTTTCAACATTTCATAACTTTGATGTATTTTCTTCCAAGAATGCATCAGACGTGTTTTAAGTTATTATTATACTTTGCACTTAATAAAAAAATCCCACTAGAAAATGAAGTTGTTGAAACCTTACTATAGATCAGATAACTGAATCATTTACAATGAATTTAATACAATAACGTAAATTGAAACAGGAAAAAATGACCAATAAGGTTTTGAGAGGTTGGTTTAAAAAAGAAAGGTTTTCAATTGTCATAATAACAAAGCAGGCCACAAATTCTGACCATGCAACCATTATTTCCTGGAGAATCTGTTTCTAAGTATCTACTTCACTTGTACAGGGTTTGGACCATTTGGTGCCCACGCTGTCAACGCGAGCTGGATGGCAGTACAGGAGCTGGATAAACACTGGAACGTAAAGGGGATAGACCTGTTAATAGAGGAAATCCCTGTGGAGTATGACACTGTGTTTGAAATTGTCCCAGCACTCTGGGAGCAGGTTAAGCCATGTGTAAGCATATCCATTTATATGTATATATTGATGATCGTCGTCACTCTCTGGGAACAGGTCAACCTGTATTCAAGGTCCATATTATCATCTCTTGTTACAAATGGTCTTCTTATACAGGTGGTCTCACAAGCAGGTTTGGCAGATGTACATCAATATATCTCAATATAAAATGATCACCTTGCTCTGGGAACAACTAGACAATATATAGCCCCCCCTCCCCCTATAAACCAATTCTAAACCAATAAGCCAATTTTCCCCGGCGTAAGAATTGGCAAGCTGATTTCTTCACTGTGGAAACGTTATTTCTTGATTGTGTCATATGACCTTTAGTGCTGAGAAGACAAAAAGGATGAACATTACACACCAGCTTAAATCTGAAAAAGAAATCATTATTTATAATCCTGTTACTGGTTTTCAGCTTGTGATACATGTGGGTGTGTCTGGGATTGCGTCCAAGTTGACGCTGGAACAACAGGCCCACAATGATGGATACGACAAGAAGGATGTGAAAGGCACATGTCCAGAGAAGAACTGTTGTGTTAATGGGGCAAACAGCTGTATTGTGTCGGGTATAGACATGCAAAAGGTCTGTGATGAAATCAACGACTCGGGGATTGATGTCAAATCTACAGTGTCTGAGGACCCTGGCAGGTAGGTTTTACTGTCAATTCTACAGTTTCCGAGGACCCTGGCAGGTAGGTTTTCCTGTCAATTCTACAGTGTCCGAGGACCCTGGCAGGGAGGGTTTACTGTCAAATCTACAGTGTCCGAGGACCCTGGCAGGTAGGTTTTACTGTCAAATCTACAGTGTCCGAGAACCTTGGCAGGTAGGTTTTACTGTCAAATCTAGGTTTTACTGTCAAATCTACATTGTCCGAGGACCCTGGCAGGTAGGTACAGTACATTTGTACAGTATAATTTTTCAATGATTCTGAGTGATTCAGCTTACTATTCTTATGTTATATTGTTATTGTGATAAAATCATTATGTTATCACAATAACATGTATCACAATATTTGTCCGAGGACCCTGGCAGGTAGGTTTTACTGGCAAATCTAGGTTTTACTGTCAAATCTACAGTGTCCGAGGACCCTGGCAGGGAGGTTTTACTGTTAAATCTACAGTGTCCGAGGACCCTGGCAGGTAGGTTTTACTGTCAAATCTACAGTGTCCGTGGACCCTGGCAGGTAGGTTTTACTGGTGTAGAGAATCACTCAGAATCATTGAAAAAACAATGATTAACAATTAATTGATCATGTTTCATAAATAATTATACAGAAACCAATTGTAGAAATAGATGTAAAATTATAGGATATAGTTTATGCATCAAGCATTCAGAGTAGACTTTCTTTGAACAAATTATTGTAAATTTCTATTAATAAATATGTTTCATTATACTTTTATGAATATTGATTTTACGTCTCCTTATCCAAAGTATAATGAATAAGTTGACTGTGAGTAATGATGACAAGTTTGAAAGCTTGTTTCAGCCAGTGCTACATTGTACACTATGTCATGTACGTAGGACATCTGTTTGTGAAAAAAATGTTTTCTGTGCAATTAAAACATGATCAATTAAAACATGATCAATTAAAATTTACATGATCAATTAAAACATGATCAATTAAAATTTACATGGTCAATTAAAACATGATCAATTTAAATTTACATGATCAATTAAAACATGATCAATTAAAGCACAAAGGATATTTTTGATTTCTTTGTGAGAAAAATGTTCCAGGTAAATAGAAAATAGTTTTGTTTGATTTTGATATGACTAAAATAGCCCATATGTTAAATTTGGATTTGAGCAGTTTGATTTTCTTGGGTTGAAAAACAGGGTCACAGTTAATTATAAAAAAAGTATGAAAGTAGTTCTGATTACTTTCAGTCTGTAATGCCTAGTTCATTTCCAGGTACAGTACATTTGTACCTGTTATTAATTACCTCGTTTAATTTTTCCTATGTATCAGCTTACCTTTCAATGTTCTATTTTTAGGTACTTGTGTGACTTTTCTTACTTCCTGTCCCTGAACATCGACAGATCATGTTCAGCTTTCATCCACGTTCCACCCCTTGATCAGCCATACTCCGCCAAACAACTGGCCGAGGGTCTGCAGGCGGCCATCACAGCTATGCTGAAGCAGGTGTCATGATGTTATGTCTGCTAAGGTCAAGGTCATACGTTAATGACCTAATTATGTTGGTGTTGTCCTGTCCGACTGCCATGTAAGACATACATGAAACTGGGAACAATTATCAGGCTGTGTTTGGTATCTGACACAAGGGTGAAGTTGTTTTAGTGTCTTTATTTCCAATTTTTTACCCAGATTAAGTTATAAAAAGTGAATCAGATATACATTGCATAACCAGTTTTTCTTTATTACTTAATTATTAAGCTCACTATTTATTCCTGAGAAAACACTTTATTCTTTTCAACATATGCAAGAACTCTGTTTCTAACTGCCTAGATATGTGGGCCTAATTTACTATCACTACAGTTGCATATTTTGATATTTTTTATTTAAGTTATTTTCAAAATGCTTCATTTGTGTAAATTGTGAAATTCACTATCACAAAGAAAATCACCACAAAAATCCTGTCTAGACATAAACTGTGAAGAGAAAATATCAACACAACGTCTTAGTATACAAAATACAGTCAACACAAAATACTGACAACCAAAATACAGTTCACACAAAATACAGTTAACACAAAAAACAGTCAACACAAAATACTGACATCCAAAATACAGTTAACACAAAATACAACCAACACAAAATACTGACATCCAAAATACAGCCAACACAAAATACAGTTAACACAAAAAACAGTCAACACAAAATACTGACATCCAAAATACAGTTCACACAAAATACAGTTAACACAAAATACAGTCAACACAAAATACTGACAACACAAAATACTGACATCCAAAATACAGTTAACACAAAATACAGTCAACACAAAATACTGACATCCAAAATACAGTTCACACAAAATACAGCCAACACAAAATACTGACATCCAAAAAACAGCCAACACAAAATACAGTTAACACAAAAAACAGTCAACACAAAATACTGACATCCAAAATACAGTTCACACAAAATACAGTTAACACAAAATACTGACAACACAAAATACAGTTAACACAAAATACAACCAACACAAAATACAGTTAACACAAAATACAGTCAACACAAATTTCTCTCAACACAAGATATTGTAAATTACATCCAGCACAGAATACCATTAACATAAGAAGCATGTCAACAAAAGGCGGTCAACAACAAATCTTGTCATAACAAAATGCTGTCGAAACAAAACCATGTCAACACAAAGTACTATCAATGAAAAATCCTGTCAACACAAAACTATATCAACTGTCCAGACAACAACTGTGTCTATAAAAATCCTAACAACAACAAAAGTCCTGTTAACATAAAAAGCGAGTCAACAAAAAACACTTTCAAAGCAATCCCCTGTCAACATATTTTTTCTTTTGTTTAAACCACATACTGGTACTCTTGGAAAGGATACTTGAAAATATGATGCGATAGCAATACTTATATCAAAGTTGTTGTATTTTATAGCAGCGTAATTATGGGATTTGTGATAGTGTGAATGTCTCAACTAGAGATCAGTGTCTGGAGCCAGTTACACCAAACCATTTTTAACTGATGAGGGAGAGCAACTTATAAAACCTGATTTATTGAATGTGTCGTTTTACTAATCCCGTTGTTACTTACATCATGTTTTACATATGTTCGCTTGGTAGATAAAATATTTATTTAAATTATGAAATAAGATGTCATTCAGGTTATTAAAGTGAACTTGACTCCGTTGTGACTGTTTATAAAACCAGTAGGAGCTGACTTGGTCTTTTCTAGTCTCACTGCTTGATTCCCTAACCTTCAGTTAGACTATGATAAAGGGTCATATATTGATGTCTAAATAAAGAGATAGTTTCATATTTTTGAAAATTATTTCAACACCATGTAGAAAATTCTGAAAATTTCTGTTAAATTATAATTCAATTTCCTTTAACATACAAGTGCCCATTAGATAAGAGATATCTTTAATTTGGTGATCTTCTTGTGCATTCTTATTGTATCGAAGTTCCCAAACTCTTGTTAAATGTACATGTATATGGTAAATTGTTGAATTGTATGAAAACATAATTTCCAGTAGGACATGTACTGACCTACACTTGTTGTCCAAGTATACATGTTCAGGGACACATAAGTGTACATATTAAAGGAGGGCCCTGAAATGTTCTGGTGTACATAAGGAGGGCTGTATCTGTGGACACTAAAATGTTGTGGTGTACATAAGGAGGGCCGTCTCTGTGGACACTAAAATGTTGTGGTGTACATAAGGAGGGCTGTCTCTGTGGACACTGAAATGTTGTGGTGTACATAAAAAGGGCTGTCTATGGAATATTGCGTATGGTAGTCATATCAATCTTTGCTGAACGTAGGATATTCTGTAGATATCTACTGTAGAATTTCTGGCACTTTCCAGTTTAACACCTTGGGTATGAATTTGCAATGTGGATGATGTTTTGCTTGACCTCACTCTCAGGACAAATTGGCATGATATTCAAAAAACTTTCATGAAAGCTGAAATGTCAAATTCTTAATTTCTGCTTTGCTTTTTTGTATGTATCAGGTATGTCTTACTTTGCAGTACACTGTGCCCGAATCTTGTTTCATTTTAATGAGGTACAAAATGTACTTTGATTCTGGGATTCTGGGAATTGAAAAGCTTTAAGTACCAAGGTTTTAGAATTATTTACAGCTTACAAACCGTGCATGAACTTGATGAAATATATCTGTTTTATTTAATTTTTCTACAACTTCCATAAATATATTAATTTTTTTAAATTATTTTGACAATGAATTTACAATGCATTAGGCAGATTTTCTTATCGAAAGACAATGAAAAAAATGCATGCAGGGACATTGAAAAAACCCCTAAGTAGAAGTCATCTTTCCCCACCTGAGACTTTCCCTGGTGGAAAAAGAAGGTAGTCCTTTCTTTCCAAGTGGGAAGATAAATTAGCTCATTGACATTCTCTCCAGGCTAACTTTTAGCACATGGGAAAGACATATATTTTTTAATCAGAGTTGTCTCCCTTCCATCATTCATAGGCTGCACTACACTCTGGGAAAACAGACAATCATGAGTCCCCCACCAATACTACCAGTGGGGACTATAATTTTTCACTCGGTCCATCCGTCAGTTAGATGTCACTGTCTCATATATTCTTCCTATCTCATACAATTGCAATTTTTGTATATGCAAGTTCAAAATACCCTGAGCTCTAGTATAGCATTTCCTCTGGTAAGGTGACCTATGAATTCTGTGGCTACTAATATTTTAGCAAGTATTACCTGGTGCGGAAAAAGTGTTTGATTTTAAGACAAAGGGTTATTACAACAATTTGTGAAGTTGAACATGTGCACTGTTGTTGATGATGCATTTAGGTAGGTTTTCCTGCTACTGACAATGTGTACAAACTTCCTCACCATAAATCCTCCACTTTGTGTGTTGAGATCTTCATACGATGATTACATACAGTTGTGATATGTATACAGTATATGGTATGGGAACATAATTAGGTAAATCATCCATTTTATCATTATAAGCTAGTTCATATGATTTTCCAGAGGAAAGCATATTGTTGAAATAATGAAAATATTCTGTCAAATAAGGTTTTTCTTAAAAGTTTCCTGTGGAAATTGTAAGTTTATTATTTTCATATGGATTATTTGTGAAACTGGAGCTAGGCAGGTATTTGGAGTTTGCTTAATTTTTCACATTTATCAAGTTTTTCATTACATACAATGTATCTGGTACTGGCATCAGAGAAGAAATGTTACTTTAACACTAGAATACAGATGTATCACATTTCACGTATTTTGTGATTTTGTTAATTGTATGACAGAATGTTTACCTGTATGTGTCTGTTGCATATTTTAAATGGTTGTGGGTCTCCTCACAGATTATTTACAAGTGTGTTAGCCCTAGTCTTTTAATAGAATGAGTCCCACACAAGCAGCAATATTCATCTAGTCTATATTTATACATATAGAAATGTACAATATATCAAATTTGATGACCCAATGCAAATAATTTGTACCAATTCAGTATTTGGATGGCATCAAACAAACACCATTAAACAATAATAAAAGGTGTATAATCTTTTAAATCTTCATTAATTTTAAACTAAGCTTTTGAACTTATAAACTTTAGAATTTTTCAGGGTTCTAACAGGGATAGTGATGAAACAGTAGTTAAGTTTAAGTATTTACTTAGTCTTATTAATGCCTGTGATACTCGGTTTGTTTTTTATGTGAAGACAATAATAAAATCTTTGAACAAGAGATTAACTGTTGATTTTTTGTATTGGATCTTTCTCCATGATGTTTGGGGTGTCTCCCAACTGTGAGTGAATACATATATGCTCCACACATGTTTGGATCAGGACATCGAGGTCAAATGCAGTTTACACATTATACCCATATTATATTTTAGAATTATCTCCCTTATTTAAGCAACATCATGTAATAGGAAAGATATGTGAACTTAAAAATAACAAATGTGTTAACCTTGTGTCACGAGTTAATAGCTACGTCCAATGGTGTTCACTTCCACATTAGACAACCAGAGCTGAGCTGTTCCCAGGAAGATAGCTAAACCACCAACAGACTAACTACCACTGTTTACAGGGATATAGTTATACCAATAACAGACTAACTACGACTGTTCACAGGGATATAGTTATACCCGTAACAGACTAACAAGGGCTGTTCCCAGGAAGATAGCTAAACCACCAACAGACTAACTACCACTGTTTACAGGGATATAGTTATACCAGTAACAGACTAACAAGGGCTGTTCACAGGGAGATAGCTAAACCTGACCAACAGACTAACTACCACTGTTTACAGGGATATAGTTATACCAATAACAGACTAACTACGACTGTTCACAGGGAGATAGCAATACCATTAACAGACTGTTCATAGGGAGATAGCTACATGTATATTGCTTTATCACTGACTTTAACTAGAACTATTCACAGGGAGATAGCTATACCACTAACAGACTTTAACTAGAATTTTTATACTTCTACTTTATTTACTCTATATAAAAGTAATTGGTTAAATAGAATATATCCCCACTTTTGCCTGACTGTGTTTTAGTCCTGTGTGTTAGTCTGGGAACTAAAACACACCAACACTCGGGTGTTTCCGCCGAGCCAATCAGGCGAGATGTGGGCGGAGCTTGCTACCGAACTCGGAAGCGACGCACGAGGTGGGCGGAGCTTGCTACCGAACTCGTAAGCATTTGGCTCCATTGCCATTAAAGGGGTAGTTGGGACGTGAAGCTATACAGCTTATGGTTTACAAATATTTTCTAGTTAAAACCATCTCTGCAGTGTGTATCGGTATAATAAAACGGTTAAAGTATGGAATGAGGGATATAGCAAGTGTCTGGTGTACCTTGACCATGTCTATTTCCCTCGGCTTCGCCTCGGGAAATAAACCTGGTCTCGGGACACCACAAACTTGCTATATCCCTCAACCCCATACTTTAACTGTATACTATTCACAGGGAGATAGCTATACCACTAACAGACTTTAACTAGAATTATTATACCTCTACTGAGTTTTCCCTATATAAAAACAATACGATAAAATCTGCTATTTCCCTTAAATCACTTAAATATCTCCATCTGAGAGCTACTCCCTCCCCAAATTAGGACTACTCCCTGCAAAAAAGGACTACTCCCTGCCAGAAAGAGGACTACTCCCTCATGAATATTTGTGTGTGGAGCTTATAAGATTTTCAACCGATGAAAATATTGGTAGGCGGAGCTTATAAGATTTCAACCAATGAAAACATTGGTAGGCGGGGCCTTCTCCGTAACTAACGCTTGTGACGTCACATTTCAGAACCAAATGACAACAGTGAAAATGGCCACCGATGAAGGCTGGTTTGTTGTTGTAAAGAGGAGTGACAGCGGATTTTGGACGCTAAACGTAGCTTAGATACAAAAGCTGTTATAAAGACTCCCGTGAATTCACTTCAATCTTATTTAACAGAACGGAATGCCAGAAGCGTCGACAAGTAGGGTCATGCCAGCTCTTTTAAACAAGAGGCCCAGAGGGCCTGTATCGCTCACCTGGATACCTAAGCAATCATGGCAAACTATTCTCCAAATGAGATCAAGGGAATATGCCAGACCCCAAGGCCAATCCTTGTAGCATAGCTATATTAGATTTTTCATGCCCAGCAATTTTATGTATGGTTATGGGGTGGGGATCTCAACTGTTTCCAAGCTTTGACTCAGAAACTAGGTCCCTAGAGTTGTGGCCAGACCCCAGGATCGATTCTAATATC